GACTGAACCAGGACTGAACCAGGACTAAACCAGGTCTAAACCAGGACTGATCCAGGACTAAACCATGACTGAACCAAGACTGAACCAGGACTGAACCAGGACTAAACCAGGACTGAACCAGGACTAAACCAGGTCTGACCCAGGACTGAACCAGGACTAAACCAGGTCTAAACCAGGACTAAACCAGGACTGAACCAGGAGGACTAAATCAGGACTGAACCAGGTCTAAACCAGGACTGATCTAGGACTAAACCATGACTGAACCAGGTCTAAACCAGGACTAAACCATGTCTGACCCAGGACTGATCCAGGACTAAACCAGGTCTAAACCAGGACTGATCCAGGACTAAACCATGACTGAACCAAGACTGAACCAGGACTGAACCAGGACTAAACCAGGACTGATCCAGGACTAAACCAGGACTGAACCAGGACTGAACCAGGACTAAACCAGGTCTGACCCAGGATCTGAACCAGACTGAACCAGGACTGAACCAGGACTAAACCAGATCTGAACCAAGACTGAACCAGGACTAAACCAGGACTGACCCAGGTCTGACCCAGGACTGATCCAGGACTAAACCAGGACTGAACCAGGACTGAACCAGGACTAAACCAGGTCTGACCCAGATCTGAACCAAGACTGAACCAGGACTAAAACATGACTGAACCAGGTCTAAACTAGGACTAAACTAGGACTCAACCAGGACTCAACCAGGCGACGGCTGCACTCAGTCCTGGTTCAGTCCTGGTTCAGTCCTGGTTCAGTCCTGGTTCAGTCCTGGTCCCTCATGTTTCAGCTTCTTATAGGACAGTACTGCAGATATCACGAGCCTATGCAGGTTGTTTTGACATTTAAGTTGTAGCTATTTTATATTTGTTATTTTTTTTATATCTCACGTCGGGAGAAGTGGATGGAACGGTGAACCCCTGTGTACCACGCTCACTACACCCCTGCCTCTTACTACTGTACATGTATCATTTTGTACTCCAACTTTGTGCACTAATAAATGGACAGTGGTTTATGTTTTATAAGCATCTAACTGTTCCCAAAAGGCTCGCCCTCTTTCTTATAATCGTCTCAATTTCTTGCAGCCTCTAAAATGAGAAGCTCTCTGGACATTTTTGTTTTGTAAAGGTAGCTCACCGGAGGAAAAAGGTTGAAGACACCTGATGTACTTATTTATATTGTGAACTACTGACACTTTGCAGTAGCATCAGGCTGGGGGTGTTCTACATGCATCTATTCTGTTCAGCAGTTACCAAGGAGACACAATGCAAACACTGCCAAATAAGTTTCACGAACCATGAACGCTCACATTGATCACAGGCTCCTGAAAATATGCTCTTTAAATCCATTTTGTATTTTTTCTTGAGTGTTCAGACAGTCTTGTAAAGTTTTTGGCTGCATTTACTGATGTGTGTCGCCATGGTAACATTTGGGAACTTTCCGCCGCACAGTGTCACCGCAAAAAGCATCAATTAATCCCACTCTCCGAACGCAACGCTGACTCGTCTTAATATCTTTTCGGGGGGCAACGGTTTTGTGCGGGTCACGTCTGAACCCTCTGATCCCTGCCGGTCCCTGCCAGCGCCTGACATTTCACACATTTCACACTGTGCGATCAATAACACAAATCGGACACTTCTGCGCCGTAATGGGGAGAGAGCAGAGCGGAGACGCAGGCTTCAGCTCACACAGAATATGTCATTTAAAAGGCCCATATGACACTGTTCTCTGTTATATCTGTGTTATAATGTTGTTTCCTCATCACAAACAGACCTGGAGTTGTGTTTTGTCACATGTTTAACACACAAACCCTGCAGATTTAGGCTGAATTCTTCTCTCAAACTGAAAATAACTCCATACACTTTCACTAGAATCATTTTGAAACAGAAACAGGAACAGAACACAACTCCAAGTATGTTTTTGAGGGGGTAACAACATTATAACATGAGTCAATTTTGTGTAAAATAGGACCATTAAATTGTTACTGTGTAAATGTAAATGTTACTGTTAAAGTTACTGTTACTATGACTGTACCGGCGTGTCAAAGCCTGATCTCATCAGATCTCAGAAACTCAGCAAGGCTGCTTGGATGGGAGACACTGGGAAAATCAGGTGCTACAGTGGGGCGCAAGTCACAAAAAACTGTCATTGTGTCCTTAGGCAAGACACTTCACACCCACACTGCCTAGTATGAAAGTGATGTGTGTGTGTGAGTGATTTTGGTGGTCTGAGGGGCAGATGGTTCAGATTGGCAGCCTTGCTTCTGTCAGTCTACCCCAGGGCAGCTGTGGCCACAATAGTAGTTTACCACCACCGGGTCTGGAGTGACTGAATAATGAACTGTAAAGCGTCTTTGAGACATATGTATGTACTTACTGTTTTAAAAACATGAAAAACAGAGCTATTTCAGTGAACTAGTTCATAAACAGTTTGCAGTGGTCCAAACTTATACCACACTTATGCATTCTGAGCATCCTGATTATTACAAGGCATTTATAAGCACTTTTCTTTCACTTTTGACATTTGTGAGCTTTTAGCCATGGTATAATGCTGTTCTCCCTTTAAAAAAAACTTGAGTCATGTTTATTTCATTTACATGTTTAAGTAATTCTTTATTATTAATCCGTCTACGTCTCTAAAGCTCAAAATGCTCTGTTCCACCTTGTGATGTCATGAAGTTTTCCAATTAAGAGCTATTTTTACCTTTAGTTCAATAGAGATAGGCACTTCCAGGGCTGAAATCATCCAAATGATTGAAGTAAAGTTATTCAATTAAATACTAAACATGCAGGATTTGTGCGTTAAACATGTGTGAATGAAACTAAACACAACTCCAGGTCCTGTTTGTGATGAAAAAACATCATAACATAGCTCAGAAAATAGCGTTTCTTTTTAATCAAGACACAGTGGACTTAGTTTGACCTCAAGAGCTGCTTATACAATACATCTGTACTGGATTGCGAGACACATTTTGCTCAAATACATGCGGGAAAAAAAAAAAAAATCCTCATATACGGGCTCTCTTTAAAGTGAAATTATAATTATAGAAAGACTCGTGATGGTATTTTTCCACGCTGGGCTAATTACGCGCTTCTATAGCTTTGTACCGTGGCGGACATGTTGGAGATACTAGACATCTTTTCATTAGAGGTGCTGAATGTCAAGCTTGTCAGAATCCACTGTTGGGAGGACTCACTCGGTCGCCGTTAGCAACAAAAGATTACATAGGCTCTGTGTTAAATCGCCATGAGGATTTCCTATAGGGCTGTATGCAAAATGTCAAGGCTTAGACGGCGGCTCAATAGTTTCAATTGGGGGAAGCGTATGGGAAATTTAATGAGTTTGGAGGATGTCTTTATGAATCCTCGGCAGACGTGTAAGGACATAATTACGAATCGCTACGGGGAGAGTGAGCTTGAAGTGTACGGGCGTTTTCTATACCGGCCCAGAGTGGACAAAAAAAGACCAGAAGAGATTGTAGCCTACTAAGACAAGCAAGAATGTTCATTAGTTTCATGTCATGTGCGAATTAAATATGCAAGATACATTATTTTTTTCTTAAAGGGCCTGGTCTGTGTTATGTTTCCTCACCAAGAACTAAAAAAAATAAAGTGGAATCAATTTAAAGTGTATATGGTGCATTTAAGTACTATTTCTAGTGTTTTTTGTTTTTTTTTGGTAAATTTAGTGCAAAAGCGTTGTGTTAAAAACAGTCAAAAGCTGAGTCTCTGTTGCCTCCGGTGGCTTCTGCAATTTCAAGTACTATGTGACATCACACAGGAGTTTCTGATACAAATACTTGGCTGAAGGGGCAGAGTTTGAAGTGTGGATACCTTTTTGACCCCCCCCCCACTCTCCCCTTTAGTCTTCCAGACCCCACTCCTCACTATTCTCTTTAGTCCTTTAACCCCTGCCCCTCCTCACTTTGCCCTTTAGTCCTCCAGACCCACCCTGACTCTCCCCTTTAGTCCTCCAGACCCCATCCCTCTTGACACTCACCTTCAGTCCTCCAGACCTCGCCCTTCCTCACTCTCCCCTTTAGTCCTCCACACCCCACCCCTCCTCACTCTCCCTTTTGTCCACCTGGCTCACCCTCACTCTCCCCTTTAGTTCTCCAAACCCCGCCCCTCTTCACTCTCCCCTTTAGTCCTCCAGACCCCATCCCTCTTTACACTCACCTTTAGTCCTCCACACCCCACTCCTCTTCACTCTTCCCTTTAGTCCTCCAGACAACACCCCTCTTTCCTCCTCACTCTCCCTTTTAGTCCTACAAACCCCTCCTCACCAAACCCCTGTTTAGCCCTCCAGACCCTGCCCCTCCTCACTTTCCCCTTTTGTCCTCCAGACTCTGCCTCTCCTTAGTCCTTGTTTAGTCCTCCAAACCTCTCCTCATTTTTCCCTTTAGTCCTCCAGACCCAACCTCTCCTTCCCCCTCACTCTCCCCTTTAGTCCTCCAGACCCTGTTCCTCCTCGTCCCTCACTCTCCCCTTTAGTCCTCCAGACCCACCCTTACTCTGCCTCTAAGTCCTCCAGACTCCATTTTCCCCTTTAGTCTTCCAGACCCCGCCCCTCCTCACTCTCCCCTTTAGTCCTCTAAACCCCGCCCCTCCTCACTCTCCCCTTTTGTCCTCGCTTTGTCTCGCCTTTAGTCCTCCAGACTCCAGCCCTCTTCACTCTCCCATTTAGTCCTCCAGACCTCGCACCGCCTCACTCTTCCCTTTAGTCCTCAAAACCTCTCTTCACTCTCCCCTTTAGTCCTCCAGGTACTGCCCAGTGTAGCAGCTCTATTTAAAATGCGGTTATGGGCGGAGTTTAGATGTTTAGTCCCGTTTTAAGACCAAATAAAGACAATTGACACGTCACCAGGTGTTTTTGAGGATCAGATTTCTGTTTCTGTGATTGTAAAAACACCAAAAATCAGATCTAATCATTGGTTTATCTGATTATTTAAGTGATCATTTTATTTTCACAGCACATATTTCCCACTCACCTGCGCAGTTTGTCGGTGAACTTGTCCAGCTCCTCCTGGGCTCTCCGCAGCTCCGTCTCCAGGTAAACCTTTGTGGAGTCAAACTCGTTCTGCAGCAGCTCCAGTTTGTGAGTGGTGTAGGACAGACGCTTCCGCAGATCCTCCTTCTGCTCCAGCAACGAACTGTACACAGAGACAAAAATAAATAAGATCAATACCGTCTACAGCGCAGGGATGTAAAAGTGCGTATGACGGGTTTTGGTGATTCACTTTCACACACTTTGGTCCATACATTTGTGTTATGAGACGATTTACTTGAAGCAAAACACAGTTGCAGCTATTAGGGGTGTAAAGGTACATGCAGTGTTGGAGAGTAACAGATTACATGTACTGGAGATACGTAATCAAGAGTGCAAATTATGAGTAACTGTATTCGGTTACAGTTACTGTTTCAGTGAGAGGTAATTGGATTACAGTTACATGATTGAAATAAATGGATTACAAGGAGGTATTTTCATGTTTTCACATTTTGGGTTATTCCGTTTTTTGTTTTGTTTTGTTTGGTAATTTCACTTATTGCCGGACACTAAACCAGGTCTAAACCAGGACTAAACCAGGTCTAAACCAGGTCTAAAACCAGGTCTAAACCCAGGTCTAAACCAGGACTAAAACCAGGTCTAAACCAGGTCTAAAACCAGGTCTAAACTCGGTCTAAACCAGGACTAAACCAGGAATAAACCAGGACTAAAGCCAGGTCTAAACCAGATCTAAAACCAGGTCTAAACCCAGGTCCAAACCAGGTCTAAAACCAGGTCTAAACCAGATCTAAACCCAAGTCCAAACCAGTTCTAAACCTGGTCTAAACCAGGTCTAAACTCGGTCTAAACCAGGACTAAACCAGGAATAAACCAGGACTAAAGCAGGATTAAAGCCAGGTCTCAACCAGGTTTAAACCAGGTCTAAATTAGGTCTAAACCACGACTAAAGCCAGGACTAAACCAGGACGAAACCAGGACTAAAACCAGGTCTAAACCAGGACTAAAACCAGGACTAAAACCAGGTCTAAACCAGGACTAAAACCAGGTCTAAACCAGGACTAAAACCAGGTCTAAACCAGGACTAAAACCAGGTCTAAACTAGATATAAACCAGGATTTAACAGGACTAAATCATGCCACGTGGACCGTGTCTCCTCCTCTTCTACCAATAATATTTTTAATTTGGTTCAGTAAAATCTGGGCTTTTTATTTTCTTTTATCAGACAAAACATCTTATGTGAAGATTTCCTCGTCTTTGCTTCTCTACAGCAAATCAAGTAATCCAAAGTATTCAGATTACATTACTCACGTTAAGTAATTTAATGGATTACATTACAAACTACATTTTGGGGTATGTAATCTGTAATCTGTAGGGGAATACATTTTAAAAGTGACCTTCCCAACACTGGGTACATGTATCTGTGCCGAACCGTTTCAGTATGGGACGTTTGGTTCAGTGTGCCGCTGTGCACAGGTGAATTTGTGTGTGTTTACATTCCACCACTACATGTTCAGCTACACGGAAGACTCGGCTCTTTAATATTCACGAGGGAACTTGTTCGTGATTGGGGTGTCAGTGTTTCCCGCAGCGCTTTATAGTTAGGGCAACAATTGCCCCCCGCCTTGACTACGTCCCTCTGAACCACGTGAGTCCTCGCAAAACCACGATCGTCGCGCCGTGGTCCTCACTTTTTCGTCTCGCCGGCAGTAAAGCTTCATTTTCTTTTCATCTTTGGACAGTTTTGTTTACTGTTTACAAGGAATTTATTTTTTTTATAATATTTCAAACATTTGTTGCTGATTTGAGACTATTTTATTTAACTTATTAGTATTACCGAGCAGCACTTTGCATTGATTTTATTTTCCCGTTGGTTTGTAGTGGTTATAATAATTACAAAAATAATTAAAAAAGGGGGGATGAGGGGAAAAAAGTGAGATTTGAGATTGTAATAAATAGTAAAAGATGATGAAGGGAAATGATGATGGTGAAAATATTAAGTATAGGGACTAAAAATGTTTATTGTACAACTACACTGCTTTTGTTTTGTTTAACTCAATTTGTGTTGGCGTGTGTTGTTGTTGTTTTGCATTTGGTGTGTGTGCTGCTCTATGTTTTTGTGTATTGTTTTTATGTTGATTACTGTATTTTGTTAAATTTTGTTAGTTGTCTTTAATAAAAAAAAAAAAAAGTCGGTTTAATAAAAACACAAATAAACAAACAAAGCAAATGGTTTTATATTTTGTTCCCATACTGCACCGAAAATGAACCAAACCGTGACCTCAAAACCGTGATTTTTGTTTACCGTTATTCTCCTCCCGGCGATGTTTACGTAGAAGTAACGACTTAAAGGTTACAACAGTCCATTTCTCGTTAACGTGGGCCCTTTAAAAGTGTGTGTACAGATTGTAGTCCAAGCAATATGATAAATTCCCGCACACACAAACGCTACAAATGATTAGGTCCTGCCATAGAATGTAATCATATTTTTTTTCCCCGCAGTACAAACTTTAATCCCACCTTTAGTAAATTGCTTGGACCCCACGCAGTCGGCCTGTGCACCAGTCTGCACCGGGAGCCAATGAACTCTAATCCATCACGAGAATGGACTCTGAGAGCTCACGTTTACGCTCTCACCTCCCCGTACGTGAACGCACCGTCATCACTATTTTTAGCCACCGTACTGTAAACGCTTTAGTTTAACCTTCAATCACGTCTCGGGCTGAGTGGATTGTGGGAGACATGGAGAAAAATTTCAAGAGTTTATGTAGCCGGTAGTTAAAGGTTGTATGGAGGATTTTTTTTTGTTTCAAATTGTCAATGATAGCATTATAGAGGTGCAGTAGCCTTGTAATTATGATGACAAAAAAAAGAGAATAAAAATTCATCAACTCTGGACGTGGTGGGGCTAAACATTTGCCAATAGATAACGACACTGCCTCGTTATCTGTTAGTTGACAGGCTGTCAATCAAACTCCCTACGTTTCTAGCGTAACTGACTTGCCTGCGCCGCCGGTACGTGGTTTACGTTCGCCTGTCACACAGTCCACAGACGCAAGACGCACAGACGCTGTTTACTCCACCAACGCAACAGTTCTTAGCGGCTTTTTTTTACCTATATCTTCCTCACAGTTCGCACAAAGTTTGTTGCAATGACAGACAAGAATCCAGGAGCAGTTCGCCGCAAAAGAAAGTCCGTTTTTGAGGTCGCTGAAAGAAGAAGACAAGGGGAAAAGCAGCGAAGCCAAACTAAGGTGATTCTTGTAGATTCATTCCAGCGATGGCGCGACTGAAGCAGACGAAGGGTCTAAAGACTGACGCACTGGTCCACAAATTACTCCTGGACAGGAAACTTCTGCTTATTATGAAAACGTACTTTATTTCCAAGAGCTAGACAAACGTTTTTCAGGACACGAATGCGATATCCTATGTCTGAAAACGTAATTTTCAAGGCAAAGAAAGAGTCCGCTTGCTGCTGCGTGTTGTAGCTAGTTCATTCGCACTGAATCTCCGCGCACCCTTCTCTGCACCCCTTTCCTGCTCCTGTCCCCGCTGCCCGATCCGCTCTTCCCCCCGCTCCTCACTTCTCCGTCTTGCCTAACCAACACTGTAGTTAGTTGTTTACAAGTCATGTGCACCGGCTGTAAACAAACCTGTTTCTGGCGTAAGGAGGAGGAGGGAGGAGGCGTTTCTACGTAGGAGCTGTAGGGGAGGGGGGGTGGTTTCACGCATGCGCAACATTTGAAAAAGGACAAACAGTCGCTGGATTTCTTGTTCCTTGGAAAATCCTCTATACAACCTTTAAGGCTGTGAAAATATATGAATTCTGTGTGTTTTTCAAAATAAAATCAAAAATGAGAAAACGAAAAAACATCTATTTTCTTTATTATTTGTCTCCAAAATCAAAATGAAAAAAAAAGGAAAATGATTTGTTTTTTCAGTTTTTGATTTTGTGTTTAAATGAATAATGGAAAAAAAACAAAACAGATAACTCAACCAGGTCTGAACCAGGTCTAAACCAGGACTGAGTGTTCGGATGGGCCCAGAGGTGCACCCACGTAGACCGTCGGGTGAATAAGACTGAAACCAGGACCAGACTGAGACCAGCCTGGGACTGAGACCGGGACCAGACCGGGAATGATACTGGGACCAGACCGGGATTGAGAGTGGGATTGAGAGCGGGACCAGACCAAAATTTTAAACCGGGATCAGACTGGGATTGAGACCAGAACCAGATCAGGACTGGGACTGAGACCGGGACTGAGACTGGGACTGAGACCGGGACCAGACCGGGACTGAGACTGGGACTGAGACCAGGATTGAGAGCGGGACTGAGACAGGGACCAGACCGGGACCAGACCAGAATTGAAACGAGGATCAAACTAGGGTTGAGATCAGGACCAGACCAGGACTGAGGCTGGGACTGAGACCGGGACCAGACCGGGACTGAGACCAGGACTGAGACCGGTTTAGTCCTGGTTTAGTCCTGCTTCAGTCATCCATTATCCATTTTTTCAATTATTCATTTAAACACAAAACACAAAAACTGAAAAAAAACAAACTAATCATTATCTAATTTTTGGTTTTGGAGACAAATAATGAAAAAAAAATGTTTTTTTCATTTTCTTACTTTTGGTTTTATTTTGAAAAACAAATGGACGAATGATACACAGATTTAGAACAGCTGGATATATAGTTTAAAAGATTCCAGTGAAGGTCTATGGAGTTTCGAAACACAGTGGAGCATTTCCTGTGTTTCTGAGTGTTTTCCGTTGGAGAGAAGATTATTATGTAAGTAAATATGTAAAGTTGTCAAGTTTGTGTGTTAAATGTGTGACAAGGAAACATTGATAAGTGTCTCGAGAGGAAGTGATTTTCTGGAGTGAAAGAACTGAATGATGATTTTGATGATCATTTTTAAAGGGACAGTCTGGAAATTTCGGACATAGGACCTCATTTCCTAGTGATCCAGAGTGTTGGAGACGTGTGGAGACACTTTTTAAAATATTCCATCCAGTCCTTGTATTTGCAGAGGTCACTGGTGCTAGACTAGTGCATGTCAACGGCCATAGTTATCCTGCCGCTAAAAACAGTCTTACCCACTCCACAAAACACCCGAAACAAATCTATTATTACACCAGACTGTCC